AGGCAATCCAAAAGTGCAAATTACAACAGCTTCTCGAGGTAATCACCTGAGATTGATGCAGTTGTACTAATCAATTGTTAATCATCAGYATTCCATTTCTGAAAAGCCCAGCTCAAACTCCTGATTAAGCAGCAGAAAATGCCAGAGAGCTTTGACGCTGTGGATGCACAAGTGCAGGAGAAGGTCACGGGCTGGCTCCAGGGCAGGCTTGAGCTGGGGTGCCACAGTCACAGCCATGGCCTGAATGGCTGCAGGAAGAAGAGTGTGCTTGGTCTGGCTTCTCTGCTGCAATTTCAACCCCTTTTTGTTCACAAAATGTTACCCATTTTCTAAATACCCCCAGGAAACCGGTGCCTTCCCGACCCTGCTGTCCTCGGCCTCACTCGCAGCCTGGATGGTGATTTTCTGCAGATCGGTTGTTTTTTRCAAAACTGAGATATTTTAAAGGCTCTGTAGCTGAGAAGAATATATTGCCATTGAAGGGAGACTGCAGATGTGCTCTGAAAATTGTAGCATGCGAAATGAAAGGCATAAAACACTCCCTTCCCCACGGTGTCCCTTCCTGTCCTGCACCCCAGCTGGGGACACGTGCTGCCATGTGGGCTGGGAAAGCTGAAAGATGTTTGGCAGGGCTCACCTTCTAGTCAGTCATTTATTTTAAAAAGATTGGGATTTGGGGTTTAGGGCATTTGGGTGACACCTCTGTGGGAGCAGAGCCTGGTTGATGCTGGGATGGACCTTGGACCTTCCTTGTGTCACACACCAGAGCTGAACCAGGAGGGAAGTTCCGCTGCTCAGGGCTCCAAAATATCTCAAAAATGTGTTGAACTCTGCCAGCTGTGAGACAGAATGCTGCCTCATGGTGGAAGGATCTGACAGATACACACTGGACATTCCTGGCCCATGAGGACAGTAACATCCTTGTATGTGCACAGGAATTCTTCTCCAGTATTCCCAAAACAGCTCCTCACAGCACAGGTCTATCACAATTCTTTTTGAGTGCAACTGCTGCCTTTCAGCCCTGAGGAGGTCTCTACAATTTTTCTCATTTTTTTTCCCCACAAAAACAGACACAAAAACTCTCTTTCCATGCACTAAGGCTCAAGAAAACCTCTGCCCCTGTAAGGTTTCTGCCCTTTCCCTCTCCTTCAAACCCTGCAGAGGAACCAGGCTGACGGCAGCACAGCAAAGGCTCAATTAAATCATCTCAGTCTGCACGTGAATCCTGGCACTCCTGTGGATCTTTTGATGAACAAATTGGGAAGGCAGAGCCCAGTGCTCAGTTTCAAAGGCAGCTGGCCTTACATGGCAGTGCAGAGAACAAAATCATGGAGCTTTTCAAGATAAAAAATTACTTTCAATTAATTCCACAGGTGTTCAAAAATTCATGCCCTGGAAAGTTCTTCATAAGACTTACAGCAACACTGATGATCTCGGTTATGCAGCTATGTATCTATCTACTTTTCAAAAATGTAGCTAAAAGATTTTTCAGAACCAAAAATCAACACAATTCTTTCTGGAAATGTCCCTGCTCAATATTTTCAGAATCACTCCCCCCTCCCAAATTAAATTTCAAAGGAACCAGCAGAATTTCACTAAAGCTTTTTTCACAACCATCATTGGGGGAACAGGAGCTCTTTTCAGTGCTCTTTCATTTTATCTCCTCTSGTATTCATGTCTCAGATTTTGTCCATTGTTTCCAGGACATGCTGCTGAACGCAGATAAGAAAGTACATGTGGCTGCACCAGAATGTTTGGCATAATTAATTGAGATATCAAAATACAAACCCCTGCTTGGGCAGCAGATGACTCGAGCTGTCCAGGCAGATGCCTGGGTGAAGAGGTGAAAGAGCTTGGCAGACACATCTCTAATTTGGGAAGCATCTCTCTTCCTTTTCATTAAGCTGTTGCTGCCTATATTTGTCTRGAGCAGAAAAAAAATTCAATAAAAAGTCAGCAAGSMAAAAMYRRAWTTKRAWT